ATCTCCAGCAGCCCGCTTGCTTCCAGCCCCTGACATAGTGGCTTTCGGCAGTGGGCCTGAACCCAGGAATCAGGCAGTTAGCCAAAGAGGCAGCTGTTCAGCTAAAAAATAGAAAAAGTTGAAATTACTCCAAAGCAAGACTAGAGTGCTATTTAATGCATAAAATGTCTAAAGGCCCTCCTCATTTAATTTTGAATTTAAAATATTTTATTGTTTTAATCTTACCTTGTATTATAATATTTAGACAGTTTTTATGTTGCTATGTATTACTGGCCTAAAACTGCTATGTATTACTGGCCTAAAACTGGCCAGAAGAGGGATTTAAAAAGCCCGACCACAAGGCTTTTGATGGAGAACATGAACAAAAACAGGGATTGTAGCAACATATTTTATTTTAAGAATCGACTTGGGCAACCAATTTGCAAAAGTGCAACTCTAGGCAGCGTACATCAATAAAAATAGAATTTCAAAGTCCTTAATAACAAAACAACCGAAAATCAATAAGAACAAAATAACACTGTTGGGGTCCATCAACACATCTCACATATATGTATATATATGTGTGTGCATATGTATGTGTACATGTATATATGTATGTATGTATGTATGTATGTATGTATGTATGTATGTATGTATACACAAATTTAAATAAACTGGAAGGCTCAGAGATGGGAAAGGGAACTTGGGCGAGAAAAAGGGAATAGGAACAGCCAAGGAGTGTCAAAATCTGGGTTGCTTAAAAAGGAAGGGGGGGACTGACTATTAGCTGCCTTTTCTCCTAACTTTTATATTTCCACCTGGAGTGACACTTCACACCCTGCTTTCCCCAAAGAAGCCCTCGTATCCGCTACAAATGGCAGTTTCAGTCATAACGTGTATTTTAAAATACGATGCAAGAAGAAACGGTACGTTTGCAGAAAGATAGGCAAGACGGGAGACCTCAGTGAGGAGAGGGAGTAATGGAGAGGGGCGAAAGGAAAGCCTCCGGTGAGGGAGAGGCTGCCCAACCACTCACCGGCCCAGACGGGGATCCCTCTCCTCCATAGCCCTCGGCTCGGTACGACGCTGCCGACAAGCAACGCCACCGCAGCTACCGCGCATGCTCGCCCGACTCCCTTCCCGGAGGCCCAACCTCCGCCTCCGCTCTCAACGGAACTCAACGTCTTCGGCTTCGCTCTGCGCTCAGCAGAGTGCGCAGACGCGGACGCTCGCGCTAGCTAGGCGACCAACGCTCCAACTCTTCGACAACTGTAAGGAAAGTGGGCGGGATTATTATTCTGGAGTTGTTGGGAGAGGGGGGACGGGGCAAGAAGGCGATTGGGTAAAGCGCGGAAGAGCTTGCGTTGTGGTCTCCTCTGATTGGAGCCTACGTTGGCGAAGATAGTGTTACCATAGCTACGCTGGCGTATTGGCTCTTTCCTTCTATTGATATTGAGGTAGAGATAGAAAATATAGAGACAACCATTCTATTGGACTTTGAGAGGGAGTTACGTTTTCCCAGCTAGATAGCAAGAAGATTTGATTATTAAGTGTTAGAGATTTATTCTACGCAGGTTAGACAAAGAAATGGATTCTTCTTCTTGGCAACCATTCCGGATTTTTTGTTCCTTTCCTCTGTTTTGTTATTATATTCTATCTATTGGAAGTCTTCCGTTTCTTTCACCCCAATGAAAACATCTGCGATTGGCGAAGCGCTCGCTCGTTCTTAGTATACCGCGTTCTGATTGCACAGCTACCGATGGGACCCGGAAAGGCTGAAGCAGGGATTGCCATGGCAACGCGTGCTTTTCCCCACGCCTCGCCGCCCAGCTAAGCCGAAATGGGGCCGGAGAGCCTCCAGCCGGTAAAACAGAAATATTAAATTAATAGTTATAAATTGCTGTCTTGGGTAAATTATTTCCTCCGCGGAGAATCTTGGGGCATTTGAGGGACAAACGAGCAAGTTCAACAGATCAAGAATCCCTAGGAAGTTTTACCTGTTGAACGTCTGCCTGCTGTGCAACCGCAAGCTCAATGGGTCTCCGTCAAGGAGGAGAAAAAAACATACGCGGGAGAGAGCTACAGCTAAAAACGGCAAAGCTCGAGTCAGTTCCTTGGATGTTTAGGCTATGCTTTACTTAAATTGAATAATTGGGCTTGAAGATCATGACAAGTTGTTTTGTAGCCCTTGCTGTCATTGGGTCCCTCTTGTCTTTACGATTATCCAGAGAAGATATCCAATACAGCCAGCCCTTGACTTATGACCACAATAGTGGTCGTTTTGGTCACCACGATGTAAAAAAGATGTTGAGACTCTAGAAAGAGTACAGAGAAGAGCAACAAAGATGATTAGGGGACTGGAGGCTAAAGCATATAAGGAAAGGTTGATGGAATTGGGAATGTCTAGTCTAACGAAGAGAAGGACGAAGGAGGACATGATAGCAGTGTTCCAGTATCTCAGGGGCTGCCACAAAGAAGAGGGAGTCAAGCCATTTTCCAAAGCGCCTGAAGGCAGGACAAGAAGCAACGGGTGGAAACTAATCAAGGAGAGAAGCAACCTAGAACTAAGGAGAAACTTCCTGACAGTGAGAACAATTAACCAGTGGAACAACCTGCCTCCAGGAGTTATGGGTGCTTCATCACCGGAGGCTTTAAGAAGAGACTGGACAGCCATTTGTCCAAAATGGTGTAGGGTTTCCTGCCTGAGCAGGGGGTTGAACTAGATGACCTCCAAGGTCCCTTCCAACTTTATCATCATCATCATCATCATCATCATCATCATCATCATCATCATCATCATCATCATTATTATTATTATTATTATTATTATTATTATTATTATTATTATTATTATTATTATTATTATTATTATTATTATAGCAGTATTCCAATATCTCAGGGGCTGCCACAAAGAAGAGGGAGTCAAGCTATTCTCCAAAGTGCCTGAAGGCAGGACAAGAACCAACAGATGGAAACTAACCAAAGAGAGAAGCAACCTAGAACTAAGGAGAAACTTCCTGACAGTTAGAACAATTAACCAGTGGAACACCCTGCCTCCAGAAGCAGTGAATGCTCCAACACTGGAAGTTTTAAAGAAGAGACTAGACAGCCATTTGTCCGAAATGGTTTAGGGTTTCCTGCCTGAGCAGGGGGTTGGACTAGATGACCTCCAAGGTCCCTTCCAACTTTATTATTACTATTATTATTATTACCCACAATTTCTGTTGCTAAGCGAGAGATTTGTTAAGTAAATGTTGCCCAATTTCATGACCTTTCTTGCCTGCCACAGTTGTTAAGTGAACTGCTGCAGTGGTTAAGTCAGTAACAAGTTTGTTAAGTGAATCTGGCTTCCCCATTGACTTCCTCGTCAGAAAGTTACAAAAGTTGATCACATGACCTCAGGTCACTGTGACTGTCATGAATATGAGTCGGTTGCCAAGTGTCTGAATTTCAATCATGTGACCGTGGGGATGTTGCAACGATCACAAGTGTGGAAAAGGGCCATAAGTCACTTTTTTCAGTGCTCTTCTTGTAACTTTGAACGGTCACTAAATGATTGGTTGTAAGTCAAGGACTACCTGGAGTGGAATTACCAGATATATATCATTTGACATAGCAGTAATAAAATTAATACAGTGTGTTGCAGTAGACAGCAGGATGGAAATAATTGAAACCTGAGTGGCTAGATATTCTGCAAGTAAACTTGGACACATCTTCTCCTTATAGCAGATTTGACACATACTTTTTTGAACTATGGCTTGTTGAATAAACCATAGTGCTACAAGTCACATGCTGCTTCTTAGTAGATGTCTGAGAAACATGTGCAAATATAATTAATCACCACAAAGGTGAAGATACATATAAGCTTATGGTTATAGTAGACAATGCTTTTTTGCAATATATTAAATGATAAATGTTTATCGAATGAAACATGGTTTATAAGACATGAGTGTGTGAATTAAATCTCAAGAGTTCTACCAATAAAATGTAGCAATTCGTATGCTGATGCTTTTAATAAACAATGAACTAACTTTATTGTGGATTAGACATCACACTATCAGAAAATGTATCTAAAACTGACCTTTTTCTTTCAGCCCAAGCCACATAAGGCAAACATATGTATGTGGTAAGTAGCTTTTCATTCTTGAGATTCAAAAGAGTTATTACATTTCTTGTCTAAGAGCCAGTTACATGTTGATCCATAGAGAGAGGTTCCTTGAATTTCTGGCTGACTGGGCTATATCCTTTATCCACTGTAAGCATCATTAAACTTATTTTGGGCCTTATTTTCAAGAAAACCTGTACAAAATCACACTGCTAGAAACAAAATTGTTTGTGCTACATTAGCAACCCTTAGTTTTTCTCTTTTCTTTTTTTGTGACGTTTCAGGAAATATTTAGATGTTCATTCCATGGACCTCGTCAATAATGCTGGAACAACTGATGAACTGAAAAGGTGATGGGTGTTCATGAAACATTTCATGACTGGCTTTCTTAATCTCTTTCTAGAACAAAACATGAGAAGCGCACAGAATGAAGATCTGAATAAATTCCTTGCCAGCCTAGTGATTAATAAAACCCTTTTTCATCTATAGCACAACCCAGAAGTGTATCCATACACAATAAGATGCATAGTTGTTCTCTAGCATTATCTTGCAAAAAAGATTTGAAAATCTCAGCATAATATGGTGCAATAAACAAATTTATCTCCCTCCCCTCATTAACAAAGGAGATAAACCACAGTATAAAAAGTATACATTTATCATTTTGGAGTGGTGGCAGTGAGATTTTAAACTGTGTTCAATTAAACCTAAAAGAAATAGAGATGAAATTATGCCAGTTCTGACCAAATAAACCTACCAGCCTTGCCACAGATGTAGAAGCTTTTTAAAAAGGTTATTATCAAGTAATGAAAATAGCTGGTAAATGGTTGTGAATGTTCAAGCTGTCATATTTTTCCCAATTTCCCCTACTTTCTGCAGGCTCCTCTCTGACCTCTTTGATCTGAAGGATTTTGAATCAAATCCTCGCTCTGCTATCTTGTTAGATTTGTACTTTTACACCATCCAGTTCAGCCGGGAGCAGGGCTTCAACCGGGAACAAACCGCTGCTTTCTTCTCAATTGTGAAGGATGTGCACGAGGCCTGTGTGGGTAAGGAACTGGGCATTGAGAAAGACAGAAAAAAAGAAGGTTGTATGAGTGGAGAAACGTGGGCGAAGAAGATGGAAACCATATTTATTTAATGACTTGAATAGCTGGACTTTCACGCTGCTTCGTTCCCAAGGCTCTAAGCAACGTATTTCTTTATTTACTTGGAGTTTTAATAGTGCAACAGGGGGTGCGGTAGATAGGGGAGAAAATAATAGTTTTTTCAGATGTCCAAATCACATTAAGCTTCTGCAGTTTGGCCTGATCCTGTTTGTCTTAGGCTGGCTATGGTACCGCCAGTCCCGTGTGCTCTTTTTGCCTTTGATGTTATGTGGGCAGAATCGTGAGAAAATGTCTCTGTGAATAAGAGCAGCCAGCAATAGAAGTGGAAGGGAAAAGGGTCCCACCAGAGTCAGTGATATGGAGGAACAGGGCGGCAGGGTGAGTCTAGAACCGGAAAGAAGGATGCAGAGGAAAGGAAAGAGACTGAAGTGGATCTTCTGCTTATTCCTACCATCTGGTTTTTGTGCAGAAACACCGCTGCCCAACGTGGAGGAATGCTACAAATATTTCTCCGAACTCCTGTTCTGCCACTCCATTCGGGTGAGTGTGTGAATGCCGGGCAGGCCAAAAGGGGCTTTACGTTTGCTTATCCACATACAGGTAAGTCCTCGACTTTCAGCAGTTCATTTAGTGACCGTTTGGAATTACAACAGCACTGAAAAAAAGTGATTTACGAGCGTTTTTCACCCGTACGACCATTGCAGCATCCCCATGGTCACGTGATCAAAATGCAGACGCTTGGCAACTGACTCGTATTTATGACGGTTGCAGCGTCCTGGGGTTGTGCGATCCTCTTTTGCGACCTTCTGTCAAGCAAAGTCAACGGGGAAGCCAGATTTACTTAACAATCGCGTTACTAAATAACTGCAGTGATTAATTCAGCAACTGTGGCAAGAAAGGTCGTAAAGTGGGGCAAAATTCACATAACGACTGTCTCACCGAACAGAAACTTGGAGCTCAATTGTGGTCATAAGTCGAGGACTACATGTAGTTTGTTTTGAATGAAGCTCCCCTGCAGAGGGCCTTCGTCCCCTCGTGGTTCTTGCAGTGGTTCTACGGCTGTTTTCCTCTTCTCTTTCTCTCTCAGAGACCCCCCTTCAGCATCGACCTCTTCAATCAGGACCAGCTGGTGCTCCTCACCGACTACATGATTAACACTTACTTCCGCCACTACAAACTTTACAAGTACGCTTTCACCCCACAGGTAAGGCAGATTTCCTTCAGCCCAGGCAGTGCTAGGGAAGGGCCGGTGTTCTGTTGCCATTTTCCTGCCATGGGAAACAAAGAGCATCCCCTCTGGGAATTGGCCCAATTACAAAATGTGATCTCTGACATCGCTTGGCTACTCCTGAGAATTGTATTGCCACGAGATGAAGCAGAAGCATCTTTATGAAGGGAGCATCAAGCATCCCAAACACAGAGGTTCAAAAAGGCGAAATGCAAGTGTTAGTCCATCACTCTGGGCCACGGGTCAGCCAGAGCCACATGTGGCTCTTTGAGCCTTTTCCTGCGGCTCCCAGCCTCCTCCGCCGTTTGCAGAGAGAGACACAGAGAGGCACTTGCGCTTCTCTCTCTCTCTCTCTCTCTCTCTCTCTCTCTCTCTCTCTCTCTCTCTCTCTCTCTGTGTGTGTGTGTGTGTGTGTGTGTGTGTATTTATTTATTTATTATTTATTTATTATTTCAATTTATATCCCGCCCTTCTCCCGAAGGACTCAGGGCGGCTCACAACATTATTAAAACAAAGAAAGACCCACACACCCCACCGAATAAAACCAAATTAAAACCAAAATTTTTATGTTGTGATAATTAAAATTTCTAAAAAACCCAGTTTAAAAATCCTCCCTAGGCCA